AAAAAAAAAAAAAAAAAGAAAGTACAAATTTTGGGAGGAACAAAACTAGTTCCCTTAGTTGCATAATTTTTTTTCTTTGAAGATTTTTCTTTGGTGTTCTTGACTCAGAAAATCCAACTTTCTGGTTTTATAAAAAAAAATCCAGATCAAAATTAATACATCAAGCACCTTAAAGCATAATACAGTTGACTTTGTAATTAGCAGAGTTGAAAGTGATGAGAAGATCCTCTAATTTTCTTTTTGCCTGCAGGAAGGTGGGAGTCAATCATTTTGACAAGTCTCCTGAAAGGAACAGCTAGCAGGAGCTGAAACCTTTTTCCATTTGGTCTCGTGGCAAAGGCAGAGATTGCTCCAGCAGCTCCACACAGTATGGAAGACAATTATTTACCTTCTTGTATTCTTGAATTTTGTTTTATTTCAAAAATAATACGTATTTGTTTTGTGTTAAAGTGTAAACTGAATATTTAAACATTTTTCATGATATACATTTGTTTTGTTTGTATGTTGTAGATATCATTCCATGATAGTACTTACAGATCTACTTCACTGTGTTTTTAAATAATTGAAAAGTATTCCATAGCACAAATACACCATTTAGGTTGCTTCCAGGATTTGACTACTCTGAACATATATATGAAGGACAGATTTTCAGAAGTGAAATTGCTGGATTACTCTGCACAAAATATTGTACTGACTTATACTCTTACTGATAGTGTATGAATGCTGTTTCTCCACATCCTCACCAATCCAGATTGTCATGGCATCTTAATTATTACCATTTTGGTAGGCAAAAAGTATCTCATTGTTCTAACATGTATTTTCACGTTTCTGATAAAGTTAAATATCTTAAAATTATTTCTCATGTTACAAGTCACAGTGCAAAGATTTTGAAATACTAGAACATTACCCACATATAGTTGACTACAGTTGGTATAAGGTTATTTTCTGCTCCTAGGTGAAACTGTCTCTTATTTCTCCAGAGATGATGTGCTCGCTGGTGCCCTCTGAACAGTCTTCTGGTACCTCTCTCTTGCCTAAAGACAATGCCCCATTTTCTTGGGGTTCCCTGGATGAGGATGGATTAGATGACTCTTTGCTGGAACTGTCTGAAGGAGAAGATGATGACGGTGATTTAAATTACACAGAGGAAGAGATTGATGCACTCTTGAAGGAAGATGACCCATCAGATGAGCAGTCTTCTGGGGAAGATGATGTTGGGCATGTTGAGAAGGGAGAAAGAGGGAGTCAAATTCTAGTTGATACTCTCCAAGAGAAGAATTCATCGTACAGCTTGGGACCAGTAGCTGAGACTCCTGACCTCTTCAAACTACCTCAGCTAAGTACATCAGGTGGTCATGGACCAGCTCCTACTAAACCATTAAACAGACGGTCTGTATTAGAAAAGAATCTTATAAAAGTGACTGTTGCACCATTTAATCCAACAGTTTGTGATGCTTTGCTTGATAAGGACGAGATTGATTCATCCAAAGATACTGAAAAACTCTCTTCCCTTGGAGAGGAGATGAGAGAAGATGGTCTTACTCCAAATGAAAGCAAACTTTGTACTGAATCTGAAGGGATCGGCCCCAATAATTCTGCCTGGGATGGGCCCCAGCTGTCTTCAAACAATAACTTTCAACAAGCTGTCTCTGATAAAAATATGGCTGACAGTAAGAACCTTACGTCTGTATTCTCTCGGATCTCAGACCATTCAGAGACTCCTAATATGGAGTCATCCTGCAGAAATGGTGGTTCACATAAACCAAGTTGTGAAATGAGGTCTCCGGTTGTTTCCAACTCATCAAACAAAGTAAGTACATTGTTCAAGGTGAAGAGAAAAATGAAATAATTTTTATTCAGATGTATAGCAGGAAGTTGATATGTATACCCCTGT